CTAAGGTCAGTGGGTTGCCCTTACCCCAGCCCTCCCTTCTCCACTTGCAGAGGCTGGGCAGGGGCTGCTAGCCAACTACCTCCTCCTCCGGCCCCCGCCACTCACCAGCCACACCATGATGTAGGAGAACACGGCAATCCACAGCGTAGCCGTGATGAAGCTGACCATGAAGAACTTCTCCCAGCGGGGCTTGCTGCAGTTGGGGATGGTGATGCACAGGAGGAAGATGAGCGGCCAAGTGAACACCCACTTGGCTTTGTCCCCTTTCGTCTCTGCAGGGGATGGGGTGGAACGAAAAGACGGGGGAGAGAAACACACACAGGGTTACACACCTGTCAGTCTACTTTGTTTGTTTCAAGCCAAATAAGAGAATGCCACCAACTTGACTCTGAGCAACTGACCTCACAGGATCACAGACCTCCAGAATGTCACTCTGGAAGCAGTAAGACAATTCAGAAAGTGTTTGTTTATTAGACAACTTCAGTCATCTGTCTTTCATTTGATAAAATAGGGAAAGTGAGATCTAGAGTGGGAATCACTACCCAGAGTGGCCTCACCCAGCAGAGTGGAACAGGGAATGTAGAAAGCGGGCGGGCTTTGGAATCAAACAGACTGGGGCTAGAATTCAAGTGACCTTGAGCAGTTCCGTAAACCCCACCTCCTCCTCTATAACAGCAGTTGCGGTGGTAACCATGACACTAATAATCATCAGCATTTCCGGGACTGGCGAGGCGCAGCCGGTGCAGTGCTAAGCGCTTTGCGTCTTAGTAGTTTCTTCATCTGTTAGATGGAAAAACGATCTCTTTCTAGGCTGTTGCAAGAACGACGTGTCTAGTGTAGAAAACACCCAGTGCACAGAGCCCGGCACTCAGTAAATGTTCTGGACAGCTCAGCTCCTCTCCCCTGGGTCATACGGTCAGCCCAGGGCAGGTGCAAAACTGGCTGGCAGTCCAGACTTCATGGATCTCTATCAAAGGAATCTACAAACAATTCCACCCCAGGGTCAGAGGCTAACCAATGGCAAAACTCAATGCTCTGCAAGGCAGTCTTGCATGAGAAAGTTCCCAGTTCAAGTCCAAAAATGTCCCTAAGTACATGAGGCATGTGTGTGCCATGAAATGGGGCCGGATGATGCTGGGGGTGGACTGTGGTGTCAAGGCTCTGTTGGGGGCGCTGGCTCCCTCTTACTCATATCAGAACAGATAAACTTTTAAAAAGTGGCCTTAATAAGCCACCAAATGCAAACATAATGTCCTTCCTAAGATGCTATGTATGGGCGTGCCAATACAGGCTTAAACCAACTAGCTAGTGATGCCAAGAAAATGGTGGAGGAAGGACCTCTGAAAATTCTCTTCTCAGGCCAGCCAGGTGGCATGGTGGTTAAAGTGGCTGGATCCTAAATGGCCTACTGCATGGTTCGAGTCCTGGACCTGGACAAATTATTGAATCATGCTGCTTGAGGTGGCAGGTAACAGCTGGAAAGCTGGACAATGAGACATCCACAGCAAGCTTTGAAAAGCTCCTTAGGAGGGATCTAAAGGACCCTTCCTGGGATCTAAAGGACCTGGAGCATGCCCAGTGCTGTGTACAGGGTTGTGCTCGTGCTCAGAAGACATGCAAATACCCTGTGCTTTGCTCTGCCTGACTCTGAGGCTCTCCACAAGTGAAAAGTAAATAAGGGTGAATGCGGAGCTGTAAACTGTCGGTGTGAGTGTTCAAGGCACACCCTAAACTCATAAACAGCAGCTACAGTAAACCCCAGCAAGAGGGGAGAATCTGATTTCCAGGGTTGTCATATTACATCATTTACAATGGCCAGTTTTCAACAAGACCTGCAAAAGAAAACTAAGTATAAGCCATACACAGAGAGGAAAAAAGCAGTCAATGAAAACACTCCCTGAAGAAGTCCAGACATTAGAGTTATGGAAGATTTTAAGGCATTTGTTTTAAAATATATACAAAGAAGTTTTTAAGGGACCAGTTTTTAAGTCTTTAGGGACCAGCAGATGGCATTATGGTTATGTCTCTGGACTCCTAGGTAGTCGACCACAGTTTGAGTCCCAGACCTGGCGGCTTAAAACTCACGCTGGGTATTTGTACATGTGTGCCCAACATCCTGATAAGAGAATGGAGAAGAGACTGTGGCGTGGCCATACCCCCCCTCCGGGGGCGGGGTTTCTTGCTTTCTGTCTCTCTGTCTCTCCAGTAATCACACATGTCCTATAACAAAACTCTTTCTTAAAATAAAAAAAGTCTTTAAAAACTAAAAGAAAGTGGGACCAGCAGGTGGTGTGGTAGTTAAGGTGCTGGACTCCCCCATGGTCAACCATGGTTTTGATCCTGGACCTGAAGGCTTGAAAATCATACCAGGCATGTGTGCGTGCATGCCCAAAATCCTGAGAAGAGAATGGAGGAGAAGGGATTGTGTTGTGGTCACCCCCGCTGGGGGGGGTGATTTCTCACTTTCCCTCTCTCTGTCTCTCTCTGGAAAGCGCATGCACCCTATGTTAAAAAAGAAACCCAAAAGAAAGTCTGAGAATGGTTTCTCACCAGAAAATACTGAGAGATAAAAAGCTTAAAAACAGAAAGTCTCGGGAACCAGCAGTTAGCGTAATGGCTATGTCGCTGGACTCCCACGTACTCGACCGCGGTTCGTGTCCCGGACCCGGTGGCTTAAAACTCACGCCGGGCGCGTGCGCGTACGTGCCCAAGATCCCGAGAGGAGAATGGAGGAGAAGGGATTGCGGCGTGACCATCCCCCCTGGGGGGTGATTTCTCACTTTCTGTTTCTATGTCTCTCTCTCTCTGTCTGTCTGGCGAGCGCACGCGCCCTATAGCAAAAAATCCTCTCCAAAAAAAAAAAACCAGAAAGTCTCGAGTTGAGATGTACAATAACAATACCAGAAATTCAGCAGAGAGGCCCAACAGTGACTTGAACAGGCAGAAAAAAAATCAACAGGTCCGTTGAAATGATCTTGCTTGAGGAAGAGGAAGAAAACAAAAATAAATAAAGAGAAAAGAACAGAGCCTCTGAGACCTGGGAATCCTAGCCTGCAGACCAGCATCTGCCTGATTGGATGGTAAGGAGGAGGAGGAAAAGAGGCAGGAAGAGTATTTGAGAACTCAGGTTCAGTAACTCCTCAAATCTGAGGAAAACATGAATGTAGACATTCGAGGTGGGTTCACATTCTTCTCAAGTGCTTTCTTCACAGAAAGCATTCCAGGACGGATCATGTGTTCGCCCATAAAGCAGCACTTCATACTCTCCAAAGAACTGAAACCATGCAAAGTATGTTCTCCAACCACAGAGGAATGGAATTAGAAATCGGTAACAGCAGGAAAAACGGAAAATTCACAAATACGTGCAAACTAAGTAGCACATTCCCCGATAATCAATGGGTCAAAGAAGAAATGACAAAGGAAATCAGAAAATACTTTGAGATGAACAAAAACAAAAATGTAGCATATCACAACTTATGGGATATAGTGAAAACTGCTTAGAGAGGAACTGATAGCTGTAAATGCCTATATCTGAAAACGATCGTGGGCCAGAGGGTGGCATGATGGTGGCTGGAGCTACATGGCCAACCGTGGAGTCCATGTCCTAGACCTAGTGGCTTGAGAAACACATCAGGCATGTGTGCATGTGCCCAAAAATCCCTAAGAGAAACGGTGGAGAAGGGATTACAGTACGGCCATCCTCGATGGGTATGGGGTGCTTTCTTGCTTTTATTCTCTCTCTGGCCAGCACATGTAACCCTAGCAGATTAAAATGAAAACAAGGGGCCAGCAGGTGGCATAGTGGTTAAGGGCACTGGACTCCTACATGGCTGACTGCGGTTCGAGTCCCAGACTTGGTGGCTGGCTTTCTCTCTCTCTCTCTCTCTGTCCCTCTCTGGTCAAATATAAATAGAAAGAAAGATCTGAAATTGATGACCTAAATGTCCTCTTTCAGAAATAAAACAAGAGTCAGACCAGCAGGTAACGTGTAGGTTAAGGAACTGGATTCCCACATGGCTGACCATGGTTTGAGTCCTAGGCCTGGCACGATGAAAATCGTGCCAGACATGTGTGCATGCATGTCCAAAATCCCAAGAGGAAAATGCAGGAGAAGGAATTGTGGTGTGGCTATCCCTTCTGGAGAGTGATTTCTCACTTTCCCTCTCTCTCTCTCTCTCCAGTAAAAGAAAGAAATTTCAAAAGAAGCCAGCAGATTGCATGGAGGTTAAGGTGCTGGATCCCACATGGCCAACTATGTGGTTTGAGTCCTGGACCTGGAGGCTTGAAAAATACACCAGGGAGGGACCAGCAGTTAGCGTAATGGCTATGTCACTGGACTCCCATGTAGTTGACCGCAGTTCGAGTCCTGGACCCGGTGGCTTAAACTCATGCCAGGCGCATGTGCGAGTGTGCCCAAGATCCTGAGAGGAGATTGGAAGAGAAGTGGTTGCGGCATGGCCGTCCCCCCTGGGGGGGGTGATTTCTAGTTTTCTGTCTCTCTGTCTCTATCTGTCTGGCGAGTGCACGCGCCCTATAGCAAAAACCTCTCCTCTCTCTCTCTCTCTATATATATATATATATATACATATATACACACACACACACATACACACACACACCAGGCATGTATGCATGTGTGCCCAAAATCCCAAGAGGAGAAGAGATTATGGTATGGTCATTCCCCCTGGGGGCTGACTTCTCACTTTCTCTCTTTCTCTCTCAGGTGAGGTCACATGCTCTATAGCAAAACTATAAATAAATAAATGGAGAAACACTGAACTAAAAGCTGGTTCTTAGAAAAGAATAACAAAATGATCAAACTTTAAGCTAGACTGACAAAGAGAAAATGAGTCCCAAATTAAATGTAAAAAGTCTCACCATGACCACTACAGAAATAAAAAAAATCACTAGGGGCACTGAGAGCAGCCATGTACCAATAAACCAGACAACCTAGGTGAAACAGGCAAAATCCTACAAAGACACAAAATACCAAGCCTGGCTCACAAAGAATAGACGAGCTGAACAGACCTAGAATTAAGAGATTGAAATAGTAATCAAATAATTTCCCTTAAAGTGAAAACAGGATCAGATGGCTGCATGGTGATTTCTACTAAATGTTTAAGGAAGAATTAACATAAATCCTTTGCAAACTCTTCTAAAAAAAAAATAGAAGAGTAGGGAACACTTCCCAATGCATTCTACGAAGCCAGCATTAAGTGGACACCAAAGCCAAACAAAGATATTAAGAGAAAACAGAACTCTATACCAATAC